CCACTGAATTCCAGAAGTAAATACCCAAAACTTGACTCGAAATGGGAAAAGTTTGCATTTACTCGACCCGAGAACACATTTTCGGGCCCAAAGCAAATGAATATTTGAGGGGGAAAAACGAAAGCAAACAATTCCTTTCGGGTTAGAAATTCGCATTCGAAAGTCTTGTAGAAATCGCTTTTATTTTTCATACTATTTTTTTTTTTAGGCTAGCTAGCTGAAATGTGCGATGGCATTTTAGCAATGTGCGCCAGACTTGTCGCGAGAGAGGGGTGGGGGCGACAAGCATGCCAAAAAGTATCTATCAGATACGTGAACATCGGGAATGCCGGCTATGCAACGCATGGCGTCTGCGTAGGTAAGGAGGCGGGGGTGGAGAAAGTACACGCAGCAAGAAATAAATCAAATCGCACATTCTTAATAATATTTCACAGGGAGAAAGAGAAAGAAAATTAGAAAGCCAATGTGCTAGAAATTAACACAATCTTCTTGCTCGACGACTACATTCTAAAAGGCAAAGCTGTATCTGTATCTGTGTATCTGTGACGGCGATTGGCAACTGGCTTTCTCAAGGCCAGTTGAATTTTGTGGTCGTTAAACTCTCTCCCACTTTCATCGCCACCCTCCCTAGGCTTTAGCTGCTGCCTCAGTTTCGGGTTCTTTGTTCACTTTCACGGAAAGAACTCAACGACCTCAAAATGCGCAATAAATTTCGGCTGCCTGCACTTTGACTACACTGGGAAAAAGATTTCAGAGCTTTTAGTATCAGTTTGGTAGTAGAAAAGTATATAAAAATCTTAAAGATCAGTTTTACTTTTTCAGAAAGTCAAACTTGTCCTTAAAAAATCTAACAAAAAATTACAATTTAACATAAAATCTTTCTTATTTCTTTCTGTGCCCTCAAAAATCACTTCCACCATTTTCCAGCTCTTGTTTGACTAATTAAAAAATGTTAGCTGCCACAGAAAAAAAGAAGGCAGAAATCAAAAGCACAGTCAGCAATGGCTAGAAACAAATGTTAATGAGTGCAGTCACTCTGAATAATTGCGAAAAGCCAAGAGAACGGGAGGCGGGGACTGCAGGGACTTTGGGGGGACTTTCGTATTAAAAATAGGCGAATGACGACAATGTTTAATGGCATGAGTATAGTGCACCTCAGCCTGAGCCAAAAACAAAAAACAGAAAAGCTAACAAGATCAAGGCGCTCTCCAAACAATAACAACCAGAAATCGTGGAAAGAAAAGTATAAATACCCAAATATAGTATCAATGGTGGGGCATTATCAGGTGTATTGGGTGAGCAGGCACAGCGATAAGCGTCACGTCTTAATCACATGAATGGATATATTATTCACCCAATTGAAGTCCCCCCATCATGACCATATCGCCTCGGACATGTCCAGAGAGGTGTGGTTTTTGCTTTTTATTCTGATATCGAGACAAAGGCAAGTGTTCTGGAGTTCAAGGTTCTGCCCTTGATAGTAAATGGAAATGTCGTTCAGTGTACCATGAGAAAGTGCAATTCTTATCGCTGGAAAAAACGTGATATTTGGTTTATGTTGATGTAGCTATATAGGTGCTAATGTGAGTCAGGTTTATCAACAAGACTTAAATTATGTAACATGAAGACTGTTAATATATGAGCTAGACAGTTCTTTCAGCTGTTTTTTGGGTAATTTTTAAGAGGATTTCTTAAGAAACGACGTGTTTCCCTTTTGGCAAGTCATGTACACTCACTTTTGGAATATTTTTTAAAAATAAAACTATTAATTTGCTACCCTAAACAACACCTTTAAATATCTTAAGCCTTCTTAAGCCCCCAGCATATTTAACATACCATTATCAGTTCCCCCTGAACTAAGCTCCCTGATTAAGTCGCCTTCCTTAGAACTTTTATGTGAGGAAATTCTCAAGAAGTCAACGCCTTCAGGGGCCGCCTCCTGTTAATTACCAAGAAATTACAATTTAATTAACCACATAAATTGAAATAATTTGGCCAAGAAGTCACCGTACGAATTCAAGTTCCACGAACCACTAAAAAGAAAGAAAATGATTTGCAGTGAAAAGGAAATCCAGCGGGCCATAAAAGTTAATGGAAATCGCTACCAACAAGGGCACAAAAGCCACGTGGCAAAGCCAAATTAATTGCATGTTTCGTGCTAAATTCTTTCATTGAAACAACAACAACAACAACAACAGCAAGCCCGGACTGGAAGCATTAAATGCAGTCGACAGGTCAGCCCGAAAACACGCTATATAATTATACGATCGGCCATATAATGTAAGCTATATACACTTCATTTACACACAAACACACACACACACACACATATATACATACATGTATTAACCTATTAAATTAGGAACCGTCAAAAGGAAAACAGAGCCTTGCATGACATGAAGGCATTTTCAATGCAATATTTCTAATGGAACCCCAACCTTTTCCCTGTTTTCCCCTTCTTTTTTTTTAATACATTTTTTTGCTGCCTGCCTGGCTCAGCAAATATGTATTCAGGCCAAGTCCTTGCGGCTCATTTAACAACTCTTTCCACTTAGCCAGCTTTGTATTTCATTTTTGTTAATTATTTTCTGTGTACTTGGCAGAAATGAAATTACAAAAAGAGAGAGAGGGAGAACTCTGATGGGTTCAACGACTATATCAGCAGCGCCTCAGGTCGTAAAAAGTCGTGCGTAGGTGGCTTGTATGTAAATGGAATTGTGCATGTCTGGCACGGGGACTAAAGCTCATTTCAGCAGGACATTAAATTCCTGCAGGATGTATATACACTCGCATGTGTGTGTGTGTGTCTCTGTAAGACTTGAGTGCTGGCACTTTGGTCTGACATCTTCATTGTCAAGTGGGCCACTTGGCTTTGGCCCACACAGCGTATGTGTGATATGTGATGTGCGAGCTTTGCTTAAACGAATCCGAATCCCAGCTAAAACGCTTTATTTGCTCACTTAATTGGTTCAGATTTGCATTTCTTTTTATAACCATGACTTGACAGTTTGTTTATCAAAACTGTTTACTTAAAGTCTCCACCAAAAAAAGGGATTTTTTTTTTCTTCGTTTTTTATCAGCAAAAGTCAATAACTGATTGTGGAAAGCGAAAAGAAGAAACGAAACGAAAAAGACAGAAAAGCAAATCAAATAGAACAAATACATGGGCTTCTTAAAAAAAAAAAAGAACGACTTGAATTATTTTTCGTGCTGTTTACGTGTCAGCTGGAACGTCTGCTCTGCCGCTCTTTCAATCTCCTAGCATTTAGATCGATCCCCCCCCCATCCAACTTACTCAACCATTAAAGTAAACAAAGTCGTACGATTGGATGCGTCAGCACACAATTTGGCTAATCAGAAAAACACACGCTGACAAAGTACTAACACTCTGATAATGACAATTATGAAAGTAACACCGCTCTTTAGCTGCTGACCCACGCCCACTACGCTTGGTTTCAGGTGAAAAATCCCCCTGCCCACGTGCCGACAAAAAGTAAACTTAATACCCCTAAGAAATGTCAGACACTGATGCATTACATCCCCTGGGTGAAAGTAAAAGCACTTTGATTTGGCCAAGAGAGAGAGAGGGGCTTGCCAAGAACCCCTTCTAATTTTGTATTCCAAAGGTAAACAGTGAAGCGGAAAATCGAGGAAAGCGGGACAAACATTGATTGGTAAACACCAAATGGCTGCAATTATGGTGACCAATTTGGACGATTAATTGGAAATGTTGTTAGAATAAATATTATGATCACGAAAGTAAGTAAGGGTAAGCTAGCAAGGGAAACTAGCAACCTACTAACCTACAACCTTTCTGGCTATATTTAATACCTAAAAAATAAACCCAGAACAGAACAGCTAATTATATAAAACACAAAATCAGAAAAACTAAAAATACTTTTCCAAACCTAAAAGTCATTTAAAGAATTGTCGAAATTATTAATTGGCAGCCAGCAATGTTTTCCGATCTGAGATCTGGTTAATTTTAGTTTTTTTTTCGTTTTTCATTTTCTAGCCCCACTTCCACCTAATTCTGTCCATCATAGCCATTGTTTTGCCTTAATTCTTTCACCCCGCACAGTCTCTCCTGCCAAGAAAAAAGAAACTCTTGACGAGTCAAGTGTTTTCCGTCTGCTGCCTTCTGTCTTTTGTTAATATTTCTACCCCCTCCGCTGGTACTTGAAACATTTTGTTTGATGGATTTCTAAGTGCGTAAATCGTTGTGATTTTTTGCGCTATTTAAAAAAAAAAGTAAAGAAAAACTATTTCGAGAGAGTGGGCAAGGCAAAAACAAGAAAATTGTCTCTGGGAAAATGGAAATGATTAATTGGCTGTTCTTGGTTTCAATATATCTTATGTCTGTTCCACCTAAGTGAAGGGGAAAATCCTCTTGAGCTCAACTGACTGACTCAGCGTCTCAATAATTCATTTAAAAAAAACACAAAAAGAGATTTTCTCAGAGTATTATTTCGACTGCAGAAAGAGTTGTTTTGGGGGCTCAGCGCGTGCCACCGCTCCCTCGGCCAAGGTTTATTTACTTTGAATTTGCTCTATAAATATTTGATAATTGGGTCCTTGGACCGCCTATGCCAGTGCCATTTGTCGCGCTGAACACACACAATTAGAGTAACAAGTTGACATTGGCGTGGGCGGGCGGTCTGAGCGTAGAGGAGGAGAGTGCCGTTGAAGTAATAGCGAAAATACGCATACGCCGCATGGGTTCCACTTGGTTTTAAGTGTGTGGGCGGTTCTGCTCTAGGAAACTTGTTGCGCCACCATTGGAATCCTTCTGCTCGCCTGACGTCAGCAAACGGAGTCTATTGAGCCTTGCCATTTTCGGCCCTGCCCTTTATTGATTTTTCAAATAGCACAGCCCACTGAGTGCAGTCGATTCGAAGGGGATTTACGGCTACACTCAGAGAGATTTCAAGGTAAAAGGATGCAAATTACAACCTAACTTAAAAAAAAGGTTTCATAGGGAAACTTTAATGACAACTCACCTTTCTCCAAGCTGGCATTGCAGAACTTGAGTGCGTCATCGAGCAGATTGAGGTGCATGCAGCTGCTGGCCTTCTCGCTGATCTTCTTGGCCTGCAGATCGGGACCCCAGTACTTCTCGACCAACCGACGAACCAGAACATCCGGCATGAACTTCTTTGCCGTGGACGCACTGCCTCCCGAAGGATACACACTCAAACCCAGAGCAGCTGCCGCCGAAGTGGATGCCATGGTGGTAGTAGCCGTAGCCGTTGTGGAAGCCACTGTGGTCGTAGTCACTGTCATGGGTGAGGCAACCAATTGCTGGACACTGGACGCCAATTGAACGCCATAGCCCATGGGGAAACTCATCAGGCTGAGGTTCGCATTGTGATTGGAGGGTGCTGTGAAAAAGCTGGAGGCGGCACCACTCGCTGTCGTTGTGGTTAGGGCAGTACAGACTGGTGCCCCGGGCGGACCTGGCGAGGAATCATGGAGCCGTGGAAATCTCACTTGGCAGATATTGCACTGCGTGATCGTCTCACAGCACTGACGGCAAAAGGTGTGACCGCAGTTGGTGGTCACGGGACAACGCAGGATATCGCAGCAGAGCGGGCACAACAGCGGATCGAATTCCTCCAGATCCTGCATGGGACTGGGAACTCTCAGTTCTCGCGTGGGTGAATGCAGATCCAAGGGACTCTCACTGGACTCCCCCGTTGCATCACCAACTCCTCTCAGGAATTCCTCTTGTTCTGCTTGATTCTGTTTGCCCTGATGGTGATACCTTGACCAGGGCATCATGTCCAGTCTTTCCGATATTCTCGGACTCTTCACCGTGGGCGTGGCAATGCCGCCCAATTGCCGTATGTGGGTGGTCAAAGCACTGGCCAGGGTATTCAGTTTGTCCAGCGGAACATGACCATCATACTGACGGCTGGCTATCAATTCATAAACATCGATGGCTTCCGAAAAGCTGCCCACCTTGGCAAAGGATTCGGCTAATAGATAATGCAACGATTTCTGGCTGTCGTTGTGTGGCAGGTAACACTGTAACGGACTGCTGGGTGGCATGTGATGACCCTGATCCTGCTGCTCCTGCCGTAGCACCTTCATCGCCCGCAGCGAGGGCTTCAGGCAATAGCCCTGCGACAGAGGCATCACTCTATATAACCGATCAGATTCCCCACGATTTAGATTTATTTTTATTTTTTATTTTTCGTAGCTGCCTGCAGTCACGTATGCAACAAGTTGGGTAAATCTATCTGGCAGATACAATATCTATATCTCACATCACTGCACTACACTTTCGTTCACTTTGCACTTGTGGATTTCTTTTATTTAATTTAATTTCATTTGAATTTTATTTCTTCACTTCATTCGCCATCAATTAATCTTTTGCGTGCTCTACTCTTGGCTGTTTTAGTCGAAATGAAGAAGAAGTTTTGACAACAGCAGCAGCGAGGCATCTGAAAAACACACAGAGAACAAAGAGAATATGAGTTGGATTTTGATTTCGATTCCGATTCCGGGAGAATTATACATATATATATATATATATATATATATGGGCAGGGAGAGAGAGATAAAGAGAGCCAGAAAGAGATAGGGGATAGAATGTGAAGTAAGCGGAACAAGAAGAAGATAGGCGCTTTACGTAATGCTCAAAAAAAAAAAAAAAGAAGAAAAAAGAAAATAGCAGCCAAAGAAATGAAATGAAATGACTGATTCTCAGAGGCAGCTTTTGATTCTGTTTTATAATTCCTCCAAACCCACACAATCAAATCAAAGAGAGACCGACGAACCCTCTCTCTCTCTCCGTATATCTCTCTTATTCACTTCGCTCTTTGACTACTGGTTGGCCTAAAAGAAGAGGAAGAACTGTATCTATTACTTAACCGCTGGAGAATTTCAGATATCTCCCCAAACGAAATGCAGTTGCCGCCTCACACCATCCAACCAAAGGAAAACCGATGACGTGACTTTCGTCACCTTAGCACAAAGCTAATTGAAAAGCACAGTTCTTATATAAAAAAAACACACAGAGTGTGTGTGTGTAAAAAGAAACAATTAGAGTTCAATGAACTTACGCAAATCCTACCCGCCAGAAGCCGTAGAAAGGCAAACCTAAAACCATTTAATCGTTACAAATAGTTAACTATATATAATTGCGGTTAAGGTAGGGCATAGGAATATAATCGCAACCACATGCTTTATTACATAATATTATGAAAATTAACACTGAATCAGAATAGAGCGAACTGACGCGGACGCTGGCTAAAGTAACGAAATCAAAATCATCGCCAGCCATACCCATACAGGCATACTTTCTATACTAACACCAGGCTGGTATATGCCCGCTCTTAAGCGTTCTCTTTAGTTCTCTTTGAGAACTATTTGCTTCTACTTATGTGTTTGTGAGTAACAAACTTGCAAGAGGAACGAATATTAAGAGAGAGAGAGAGCGAAAAAGAGTCTGTTTTTGTTTTTGTGTGTGGTTTTTGGCTTGTTTCGGTTTTAGTTTTTTTTTTTGTTTTTTGCTTGTATTGTTTTTGTATTTTTGATTGTGCGCACGTTTTGCTTTTGACGTCGTTCGTATTGTATCTTTAAGATAAACAATGCCGGCATAACACACATACACACATACAAATACACCCGCACACACACACACACACATACATTTGGAGTTCGGTTTTGTCTTTGCTTTGTTCTTCGCGTTCTGGTTTTGTTATGTAAACAATTTTTTGGTTGTCGTCCGCCCGGCATCAAGATCTTTTCCTTTCCTTTTCTTTTTCTTTTCTTCTTTTTTTTTTTTTGCCTTATAATTTGTTTACATTTGCAAAGGCAATCAAAGTGTGCCAAAATAAAATCAAACTACAAAACTGCCTGCAAATGAAATTTGTTTTAGTTTTTTCTTCATGGGCATTGATATAAAAACGCAAACACACAAACACACACGCGCTTATAATATGATTTTTATATCGAGACAACTTTTGCTTTTTGCATAAATCTCGTTGTTAAGTAATGCTGAAATATCTTATAAGTTGGTAGTTAGCCAAGAAAATGAATTTATCAAGGGTGTGTTTATATGTCGGCAGATATACGATCTACATGCGGCGGCTTTCTGATCGAGTCGCCGACCCAAAAAATATATAATAAAACACGCATTTTATATTCGGAATAGAATTTCGGCTGCATGTTACATAAGATCTGGGAAAGTTTTCTTGGTTGGGTTAGATAAGAAAGATTTAGAAAAAAATTTCCAAAAGGAAAAGGGTTTTGCAGGGAATAAGAACTAGAAGGTTAAGAAAGAGGTTTGTTTTTCAAAGATTTTTAGGTATTTTAAATAAGTTAATGTAAGGAAATGGAAGATAAGTTAAGTTCCTAACAACATTTTTATGGAAAGTTAGCTTAATATCTAGTTCTATCTTTATTTTAAGATTTTTACCCTGAGCTTAGTCAAGAAGAATTGTTATTTTATCATTAATATCTATTACTCAATGTTTTTCCTTGAAACCAGTTCTCTTTCTACTTAGTGACTCGTTTTAGTAAATAAACTTCCTATAAATTTCCCTTTCGAAAGCTGTTTACTGATATCGACCTTCGAGCACCCGAGAAAGCGCACTTCTAGATTAGTTTAAGCAGAACTTAACACAATCGCCAACTCGGGTCTGAAACTATATATATAAGCTATATATATATATATATACAAATCAAGAGATAGTAGAAAACCGCTTTAATAACAGCTGGCATTGTAAAAACATTGTGAAACATTGTGCGAGGGGAAAAGTTGGTAAACAAGCTACAGCACTCGATTCTAATTGCTCGATAGTTTTGACTTTGCGTAAGTGTAAAAACTATGTGTACGACTCATATAACAGCACGTGTATCCGACGGCAATCGTGGATTCGTGTACGTAAAGTCATATTGCATAATCCTGGAACCGATAAACGTTCCTAAGCGAACGGCAAATATGCAGAGTGCAGTTTTGCCGTTTGCCCGAACACGCCCTCGCATGGCGATATAACGTTGATTGCTTTATATATTTTACCTACCATATTATGCAATGTCAACTATAGTCAACTATTTTATCAACGTCAGACAAAATGGCAGTGATGACATATATAATAGATATATATAACTATAGCTATAACAGCCTTTGATAGCATTCTAAGTCAACTGAATGCAGGCGCATTGTTTGCCTTAAATCCGATAAGTGATTGTAGGCAAACGTTGATTGAAGTCGATAAAGGAACTAAGTATGATAAACACATTGTGTGATAGTTATAGATAGATTGCCTGTTTATACTATTAACTATAAACTGATTGAAAACGACAGTTGTTTCTTTATATCAGCTATTTAATTACCACTTTGGGAATACAAACGGAAAATGACTCAACAAATGATTCAAGTTTTTGAATATTTTAAAAGGAAATTCTTAAGAAATTACAGTCTTTATCTGACTTATTATTACTTCTACAGTAAGTACCCAAAAATCGTTCTTCGTCCACTCAAAAATCCCCCTCACTTCAGATATAGTTCTTTAATCACCCAACCAATCACCCCACATAAGCCATTAAATTGCATAACAATCGATGTGGGCCATAAATTGATTATGCTTCGATGGTAATTTTCCCCCTTAATTATGAAATCATGCTCGTCGTAGTAGTAGTTATGAAATCACATAAATTTTCATTGCCTTGATGTGTATTTTGATTTCTTCTTTGATATTTGTTTTATTGGTTTCTCATTTGTTTTGTCGTTATTTAGCTGCTTGGCTCACACGTTTTACTATATGACATTGTGTTTTGGTCGGACGACAATGATAAACACTCATAAAAATAGCCCAAAAAAAACAAAAAAGAAACAAGAAAATACAAAAAGTAAAATCAAAAACTACAAAAGAAACTAGGGTGAAGAATTTATTGAGGCAAGCCAATTAGCAACGCGAAATAATCTAGTTTTATGATATTTCAGTTTTGATTTCACACTGATTACGAAAGAACCCAACACTCATTGGCTGACTAATTTGGCCCAGTCCCTTTTGGCCTTATATAATGGCCCCCAAGTATTGGTTTTGTCTCGTGTTATATAAACAACGATCTGCTGCTGCTGCTGCTGTTGCTGCTTTGGAGTCTGGCTTCCTCGATATTCGACACTCTGACTCATGACGAACCTTTTTCGCCCGACGATGACGTATGCAAATAGGTTTTTCCTCTTTTCAAGCTAACCATTTTTCTTGGGGTCTTGTTTTTGTAGCTTTTCGTTTTGGGCCAAGTGGGCGAGCGAGCACTGGACTGGCTCGTTGTTATGGCTCGTTCATTGGCAGCAAAAGTCGCATAATACTCGTAGTACACATTGCGTGTCGTAACGCTAAACGTCAACTGGGGAAGAGGGGTAGATAGGCGAGAGAGAGAGAGCGAGAGGGGACGCTTTGGAGGCTGACGAATAATGGGTGGTGACCCCGACAAATTGGCAAATTTTTAGCAGATTATCTGGGTTTGCAAAACTGTAAAAGCAGGCGATGAGTAAGCCACAGATCTGATGAAATATAAACACGTTTTTTTGTTTACGTAGAAGTTTCTTTTGGATGACGAAAGTTAAGTTTAAGTTCTTTCTTGATTTCGTAAGATTCGGTGGAAATTTGATAGGAAAAATATTTCTTTTAATGAATTCAATAACTATTATTGATCACTTTACTTTTATAACCTATTTCTTACATCATTGCAATAGGAATAATAATACTCATATTTCCAGTTTCATAATAATAAATTAATGGCCATAAGCGAGGGTTTCCCACTCTTAAGAATGACTTTTTATAATCATTAAAAAGCAAAAAAGGTTAATTTTTAATAATTGATGGTATAATTTTTCACTATTTCTTAGCTTTTGATTCTTATGACCAAATTTTGTCATTATGAAATCTATAATTATTATGGGGAATTTCCCTAATCGACTTTTCCAACGAAAAAAAAACCTATGAAAACCTCATCATTTGTTTAGCTGCTTATCAGGCCTAATTTATCATGAAATCATTTATATATATATATAACGTTTTTCCTCGAAAGTTTTATCACACGTTAATTATAAATATTATTATCAAGTGCGGGCCAAATTCAATTGGCCACAGAGCCAGAGCCAAGCAGAACGTCAACAAAACAGCGCAGAAAAAACGCTTAGTAATGCCTTTAAAAATATGGCAACACGTAAGAGTCGACCTCCCCCACCGCCCTTGCAGCTGCACTTTTTGTTTTTACCAACTAGCGGATGAAAAACAGTTTTTCCCCGAATACGTAAGAGAATGAGAGAGAGCGGGAAAAATCATAAAGAGAGAGAGACTTGAATGTGCCAATCTTTGTAGAAATGCAACTTTGTTGAGCGTTCATTCACATTGGACACCAACACACACCAAGCTAAGAAATGCACGCATACATGGGCAAGGCATGTGGTGTGATGTCGTAACACACACAAAGAGTGCCCCAAAGAGTGAGAAAGAGAGTGTGAATTTGATGAAGAGAATGGGGGAAAGGGAATTACCTGTCGCTGTTGAACCGCGCCTCCTTGTTTTTCCCCAAAAAAGGGGCGGTTTTTTTTGCGGGATGGTGCGGGGTGGGCTGTTGCTCGAGAATCACACACACACACACACACAGTCACTGACAATCTCGAAATTCTCCCTCTTCTTCTTATTCTTCCAATTTATTTCAAATTTTTTGTTGTATATTTTTTTTGTATATATTTTTGTTGTTGTTGTTTGCCAAAAATTTATAGCCACACGCGTGCGAAAAAACGAATTCGGGGAATATATTCTCTCGTGTTATGTGTTGTTGTTGTTGTTGTTGTTGTTTTTGCTTGATATTTATTTTTTTTTTTGTTTTGTAAGAACTTGGAACGGCGCTTGTCCGTCGGCTTTACGTAACCCCGCCGCACACACGGGTTAATTTCTTCTTTTTCTTTTTTTTTGTGAAAAGGGTGTGCGGCTATTTGGGGGATTGGGGGTTGCACTTAGACCCCCTTTCAATTTCTTTGTGACTAATTTATTTAGATTATTTATTTACACTGCAAAAACACGCGAAACGAGCGCCTTTTTATTTGGTTTGTATTTATTTCTTTGATTACGTTGGCGTTTGTTTTGTAATATACGCTTACGTTACGCGACGCGACAGAGAGAGAGAGAGGAGGAGCACTGGCCGAAAGAGACAGCAGCAGCGGCGGCGGCGGCGGCAACGTGTTCGAGTGGCTCGGCGATGATTTGCTTATGGGGTGCGCTCCACTTTGTTGCTTTTTTATTTGCCTTTTTTATTATTTCATTTTTTTTTTTTGCTATATTTTTTTTCTTCTTTATTATTTGACTTTTTTGTATTTTTTCGGGCTGCTTTTTAAAAACGTCTGAACTTGCCACGGCCGCTGTTCAACAGCGACTGAATGTGTGAAAAGTCAGACGCTTGCTTAGAGCGAAAAGTCGACGTGTTCTCTTTGCTGGCTAAAGAGCGAATGCTATACTCGAATATTATGTCACTGTGGGGGCTGACTCTCTTAGGCCTCTGTTGCGTCATCATTTGTTGGGACTTAAGCTCTCTCTTCGCTTGGCATTTCTCTCTCGGGGTATTCTTTTTTTTTCTGAAAAATTTGCCGGCAAAACGTCAACTGTCAAAACAGGCGACGCCAACCCAAAATTGATGGGAATGCGGGGGTTAGGGAGGGTGGTTTGAAAAAAGCTATAGGTTTGTGGTGGCAGGGGGTGGTGGTGTGGGTGCTAGTTTGCCAGTGGGCGTCATTTATCGTATGATGCGCATTTCCGGCGCCACTCAACAGCAGACAACAGCCATATAAACACTCAGCAACATCAATAATAACAACAAATACAGATGATCTTCTATAAGTTACGATTATTTTCATTAGATTTATAATATTTTAATTTTAATTTATAAAAATATTTATAAAATGATGTACTGTTTTACTAATTTTGTATAATTTACTCCTTTAAATATATTTACATAATATTTAAGAAAGGAAATCATCAAAAATTGTATCGAATAACCTAAAAACCATGTTAAAAATATTTAAAAACGTTAACATTTAACATTCCTAAACAAATTTTAGTTAATCAAACTAAATATAGCATAACGCAGAGCAAAGATCAATTTCACAGATGTTCGAATGTAATCGAATATCTGCGTTTCATAAGTGCTGTGACCGCTCTTACATATTGTTTTGTCATTTAACGCAAATTACGTATACGACGCGTTGACCTCATTTGGGTTGATCAACAAATGCAGTTGTGGACAAACTTGGCTTTAACTCACCCCCTCTCTCGCTCGTTCGTTTGCTGTCTCTTTACATCTATCTTTCTCTTTTGGCTTCGCTTGGCTTGTATTTCAAGCTCAAGTTCAACGTTGTCTGTTAGCGGTTGCCTGCATACAACTACCAGTTTTCATGCTGCCGCTGGCTGGCTGGCTGGCTGGCTGCCTGGCTTGCCATTAACATTTTGAGTGGCCGCTGTGTTGTTAACTCATTTTTCGCTTTCGTAAGTCTTGGCTAGTACCAAAAAACAAAAAAGAAATATGCGCGGCGGGCGAGAGGAAGCCCGCATATGTTTGAGCATTGCTCGCATTTATTGCCACATTTCCCCCACAGGGAAGTAATCGAATTGCTGAGCCTCTGGTCTGGTTTAAAGTAAACCGTTAAAAAAATCATAAATTTAAATTAAAATAAAAAATAAGGCAGAGTTTTACAAGAGTATATACTAAAAAAAACTAAATAAATACTAAAAATTAACTTAACATTAATAAAATAGATTATAGAATACCATTTATCATATTATTAATCTTTTATCTTATCTTGTTAAATATTTTTTTTAAATTGTTGTACACATAGAAAACCAATTTTCTCTCACTGTACCAGTTATGCAGCTCCCATTTCCCAAATACTTTTGCTGTTTGCTTTTGTTGGTGATCAACGGAAATTAGCTGCGAGTTTCATGTTTGAGATGTTTATTTTGTAAGCCATATATGAGGAAATTAGTTTGAGGGATTTTTGTTGCTCGGTTTGTTATGTTTTTTGCATAATAGCATATCAACGTTTTGGATTTGGGTTCGGTTCAATTAAGTCTAGGCGTGTGGAGCTGACAAATAAATCACTTTACCATTTTTCTTTTCGTCGATTTGGTAATGAAGGTGAATGGAAGTCGAGTGAGTCTCATATTTTATAGACTTGAATTCGATTGGCTATGAATTGCTTTTAATAACTTACTTTTATGGCTATAAATACAGATTTGTGGAACATTTTAAACTGTTTAACAAACTTTAACTCAGCTGTCATATAATATTTATTGATTCTTAAATTTCCGGCCACTTTATTTTGTCATTAACAGGCAACTGTTCCACAGCTCATATCATATCCAGTTTTCGTCTCATATCCTCTTTCCGCTCACCAATTATGCAATCAACTTGACCTCCAGTACTTTAAATAAATGTGTTCCAGCTGCTGTGAAGGCCAACCACTTCGAGATACCATCGCCGCCGCAAAGTAGGCTACATAATTAGAGGAAAGAACTTACCTTTAAGTATACAAGTCCAAAACGAAATTTAAACACTTTTTCTACATTTTTTTTTGCATTTATCGTTTCAAAATTTGTATCTAAACCTTTATTGTTTGTTCTCTTATGCAGTTTCTCATAAAACATAATCATTAGCCTCGCCGAAATGTCACTTCTTTCTAACTTGAAGTTCCTACTAAATTTAGTTTCTCTTTCTTTAAATCAAAGTCCACATAACAGAAACATAACTTTGTTGTTTAGTTAACAAAATCTACAAAAACTTAGATTGAATCCTTTTGGAACTTAAGCTTAAGGTTGAGTGTAAAATAATTAACAAATGACTTCAGTTTAGTTCATAAATTATAGCTAATATCTGCAGCATCTCGAGCACTTGTGTTGGAATTTCTTTAGGTTTTCTCATTTCTTTTCGGTTCTTTCTTTTTTGTTTTTTGTTTTTTGTTTTAATTTTAGTTTTATTTTGGTTTTGTATATATATCTAGGTACATGTTAGTGTCCTTGCTTAGGCTTTCATCTTTAAGTTTTAGTTTTAATTTGGTTTTCATTCGTATTTAATTTGTGTTCTGCATGCTGCCAACAACAATTAGGCTGAGTTTTCTTTTGTGGATTTCCTTTTTAGCATTGCTCTAATGCCTTAAGCTGAGTTTTCTTTTTTATTTTTTTTTTTTACTAAGTTTTCCTTTGTTAAGTACCAAATGAAGTTTACTTGCCTTGTCTAAGGCTTTAAGTTAAGCTTTGATCTAGCTTTCGTTTAAGCCTCAACTTAAGCTATGGTAGCCTTGTTTTATTTATGAATTTACCTTTCAGCTTTCTTTTGCTTTTCACATATAAAATTATTTGCATTTCGTTTCATTTTGCAAAAATCTCAAAATATAAGTAAAGGCTCTAAAACGCTTTGTTAAGTTCTTTGTTTTTTCTTGTTTAGTTTGGTTTTATTTAATTAATTTAGCTTGATTTTTTGCAACAACTAACAATTTTTTGTCCATTTTTGTTTCTTTTGTTATGTTTTTTTTTACTACATTTAAATATTTTTATTTTGTGGATTTTTTTCGGGGCTTTTTATTGATTTTAAAATTCAACAACATTTCTTTTTGTCTTTAATAATATGTAAGAATATATTTTTATGTATATATATGTATATATAAGTTATGTATATGTGTATAATATTATGTATATAATAGCATTTAATATGTTTCGCATTGCCATTCGATTCGCGCCGCCTCCTCTTTTACCGCTACGCTCCCATTTTCTTATTTATGTTTTTCTTTTTGTTTTTTTTTTTAACTCTTAATCACTAAAAACACTCAGCTCTTGCCCGTTACGCTTACTTACTTATATTATCGCTTTGCTAATTTCTCGTTTTTTGTTTTTCTGCTTTGCACTGCAACAATTTGTGTCTTTAGTTACTATTTTTAACCCTGCCTAACGATCGCCATTCCTTGCCCGTTTTGCTATGTAGTTGAGTGTACTATATATGCATACAACTAATATCTGTATAAGGTAGATATAAAAATCATCAACTACGAATTTATCTACAAAAGTTACTCGCTTTTGGTTTATAATTTGTAGCATGCGTAATTCATTTAACTAATTCATTTTGTATATAATAAATATATATATATATATGTATATATTAATGTTTATTGTATATTAAACATAATTTCGTTAGTTTTCATAATTTGTTTTTAAACGTTTCATACTTTTCAGTTTTATCGTCTTCTGTTGTTGCTACAAAGTCTACATTTTGTTACGGAACATTCTTATTCGAAAATCTGGGTTTTCTTATCAATTTTTATTTGAACTTAAGGGAAATTTGGAAATAAAAACAATCTACAACAAACTCGTTGTCATGGAAAAAGTTTGCTTTGCTTTTGGCCTGGGATATTTGCAGCCTGAAAGTAGGCAATAGAATTTCCTACCTCCTCTTTTCGCTTCTGCTGCTGCGTGAGTGTGGGCATGTTTTGTATGTTTGTGAGCCAAACTAATTTGTTTAAATTGCAATATCTAAATTCAGTTTCGAACTTGATTTATTCGGATTTCTTTTTATTCAACAATTCTCTACATAAACCAAAAATTGTCTACAAAAATTCAACTACAAACTACGGAAAACATAATAGTTATTAAAAATATACAAAACTACGCTTAACTAATGTTGTGTGAAGGATTAGGAGGAGGAGGAGTTGGGGGTGGTGGAGTAGATCTACCGCTCATTCAATCAATGCCCAGGCCCAGGCCAGGTAAAATAAGCAAAATATCTGCCTTAAATATGTTTGTTTTTTTTTTTTCACCTCTACGCGCAATTTATGTTACTTTTTACTTAGGTATAAATATTTTTATATAAATATAACATGATTTTTGTTTGTTTACTTCTGGTTTTTGTTGTACAAATATGTAGCAATTGCTTGAATCTGCTTAGTCGTATAGTCCGCTATTTTGAGTTATCCATAAATGTTAAGTTTATCGTATATACTTGTGTGAGTTCTTCATCATCATCAACAACCGAAGCTCAAAAATGTTCATTTTGCAAAATGACACCCAACATTTTTCCTTAGGTTTTTTTCTTTCAGTTAGAGTTCTGTTTTGTTTTTTTTTAGTGGGGTTCATTCTTTATCATCTTTAACGTTATTTTGTGGTTGTTTTCTCTAGGTGGTCTCATAGCAGTGCAAAAGGCTTTAAGGTTAGTTTTAGTTTTGGGGGTTTCTGTTAAAGGGGGCTTGGGGAAAAATAAATCCTGGGGGTGGCTAAATATCTATGTTGCTATATATAATGCTATGTCGATTACTATATAATTTGTGTAGGTTTCTTGCATCTATCGTTAGGGTTAGTTTCGTTTTCGGTTACGGTTACGGTTACGGTTACGGCTTTAGGTTTATTTTCTTTAACTCTGTCTTGAGATCCTTGTATGGTTTTTCATTTCTAGATAGTTACTAAGAATGAGGGATGGGGCATGGTGTGGGGGTAGATAGAAAATAAACGAGTTTTCAATAGTTAAAAGCAACGCTTAGACTTTTATTATTACACACAAATGTTTGTAGTTGTTGTTGTTGTTGTTTGCTTTCTCACTTTTTCGTTACGCTCTCATATTCTCATTCTCCTTTATCTTTCTGTTTTTTGTTGGTTTTCTTTCGGTTTTTTTGCACATTTTTCCATAGAATAAATAAAACTTATTGAAATTTATTAAGAAGAAGTGCTTAATGAACTTAATTCAAATCCCTAAGCTTCAAATTTGTTTTTGCCAATTAAAAAATATAAACGTTTTTTCCAATCGATTGGTAAATTGTGTTTTTGTTTTTGTTTTTGTTTTTGTTGTTGTGGTTTCATATATTTTTCTTATATTTCTAGATTATTTTATGCAGGTAAATGTAACTCAAATGTATAACAAATAATAATAATAATAATTAATAAACTTAACTAACGAAAATAGTTGCTGTTTAAAGTAAACATAATCGTATGGTATTATGTAAAAATGTTTTCTTTTTGTTTTTTGTTTTTTGTTTAAATTGTTTTTAAGATCTTTGCAAATCACACCAAAAGAAATAGTTTTTCTTGTAATAAAAGTAAAAACGAATAAAATTGTTAACAACTAAAAGGAAAAATGTGAAAATATGTGAAGAGGGGGAGTTGTGAGGGGGGGTTTTCCCGAGGGGCTTGTTAGTAGGAAGTAAGCAAGGTAGTTCACTCGCTATAACCAGCTGACTATGTCTGGGTTAGTTTTGGGTTGGTTATTTTAGTTTATCAACAAATCAACAACGAAAACTATTTCACTTCTAGTTTTGCATCTGCCTCCGTCTGTCCTTCGTCTGTCTCTGTCTCCGTCTGGTTTTGAATTCGTTCTTATTTGTTTTGTTTTTTTTTTGAGGGTTTTCTGATATTTTTTCGTTTTTAAGGTTTAATATAAAAATCATAGCTCACTTAAACTAAACAGCTGCCAAGTGCCCGGCAACTGAGGAGGGAAGTTCTTTGCTCATTTCTAAATGGTTTTCCTTAGCGTTTCTCTTTAGTTTTTCTCGTTTTTGTTTGTTTGTTTTTTTTTTTTTTTTTGTGGGTTTTCATTTTGCAATTTTTTATACAAGTTTTCTTATGCTTTTTTTTTTTATGGTAATTCTTCTCTCGAGTTAATTTGAAAAAAGGCAACGAAATTATTTACAATATGATTTTTTGTGTGTGGTTGTGTGTGTGTATATATGTGTGGGTGTGGTTTTCCTTTCACTATTAGCTAAAGCAAAACTTAACCGAAAAACTAATTACAAAAAAATAATAAGAATTAAGAGTGATAGGGTAGAAGAAAAGTAGAAGGGGGGAAAAGTAGCAGAAGAAGAGGGGGTTGTTTGCGTAAAACTAGGCTAGACAACTATTAAACAATTTAAAAGATAACAATTCTAGGTCTGTGTTTGTTGTTTTTCTTTCGTTTTTCTTTTTCTTATAGGATTCCCATTGCGCTCGGAAGTATGCTACATTAAAGGCAAAAAGCTTCGGGCGCAGAGCTTTTCAACGCTCTGCCCGCGTGAGACTTTCTTTTTTTTGGCTACTCTAAAAAATGTTTAGTTTCCATACGGTTTCTCCTCCTTTGTGTTTAGTTAATTTGCTTTTAGTTTTCTTTTTCTTCTGTTTTTTTTTTTTTTTAGCATAAAATAAATATTTAAGCGGAGCACGACGCCGTGAGGGGTTTCTTTGTAGGTGTGTGTGTGTGTGTGTGTTTGTGTTTTGTCTTAATAATTATAAGTTTTTTGTTTTTTTTTTTAGCATATACATATTTTAGATAGAATATGTACGTTATAGTGTAGGTTTCATGTCTGCTGTACTAAACATTATTAGTAGTTTTTATCATAGTTATGATTATTGTTATTTTATCAATAGTTATTATTATTTAATTGTTGTGGTGTCCTCAGGCCAAGTCACAAAATTGTATTTATCATTACACATCTTGGAATTTCGATAGACGTGCACGCAAGTCCATGTTCTCCTGTTTCAGCTGCTCCACCTCTTGATGTAATGTTGCATTCTAGATAAGAATTTAAATAAGATTTGATTAGTTTTAAGGGATAAATAAGAGTTAGTGACTGTGTACTCACTTCCTTCTCCAAGTAGCGTGCCCGCATCGCAATCTGATTCTCCTTTTGACGACGGGCATCGCGGGATCGCTTGGCGGCAATGTTGTTCTTCCGGCGACGTGCCCAGTACTTATCGTCCTTGAGCTCATCTGGAACGAATTGCTTGCGTGACTTTTTGATCATCGGCTGCGGCTTGAGCTCCTCGTCGGAGAAGGCTCGAGTACGCGGATCAAAGTCACGGCCCGAGGAGGCGAACGAAAATGCTGGAATATCAAATACTAAATGTTAACAATGGTTCACAGACTGTTTCGTGCTAAATTAATATCATCATAAAAATCAACCTCAAATCAAAATAAAAACAAACAACAAAGTAATCCAAAATCATAGATTTAATTCGAATTGAAATTGAAATTGAAATTTAAGGATTTTGCACAAATTGGAATGGGAATCATTGAGTTTTTGTTTTCTCGTGGACCATTTTAGGGCCCTCTCTTTTTTTGGGGTTTGTGTCTCTTTAACATTTAGCATTTGATAAGACATTTGTGGGTAACTTAAATTAAATTTATATAATTCAGTTATAATTTAAGTTAGAAGCAATGTCCATTCCATTTGTGTTTTTTATATAATTCATTTTACAAGTTTTGTTTGATAAAGACTTAAGATCGTTTAAGATTGATTATCGTTATCGATTGGAAAGAGCGGCAGATAATAATTTTAAAATGATAACAAAAACTGTACTTTTGAAAGTTGTTTTATACTTTTTTTTAGTTATTAAAAACATTAATTAATACTTTAAATGAATGATAGAAAATCGATTTAGAAATTTAAAATTAAAGCATCTTTGGAACTGGATTTGTATATCGATTAATGACGATATTTTCGATAATTACTTTCTATATTTCTTTTTTATACTTTAAAAGTTTTAAGTTAAAATTTTTCTCATTTACTTTAATAAAATATTTGATTAAATTTAATTTAAATTGCATTTATTGATTGATTTATTTAACGATCTGAATTTGTCACATTTGATCGATTTATCGATTATATCGATAGCGCGTTAGTTCGACTATACTCACTTGACTCGGCCGGCGATGGCGGATTTAGCGTGTCCGGACTGATGCAGTCGGATGGCGAGGGCGACCGCTCCCGCTTTGTGGTTATGTGGCCCAGGCCCAGCGACAGACCCGCTGCGTGACCCAGGGAATCGGACCGGTGACCCAGGCCACTCGAGTGACCCAGATGCGTGCCGGGCAGGCCATCAGGTATGTTATTCTCCGACAGGAACTCGTCTAGGTCGGCATACTAAAAAGTGAAATATGAAACGAAAACGAAATGAAAAACTGGACATGAAGATGAGACGCTGATATTTCCTCGGGGTTAGTCACACGAACTCTGAGCTCTGAATGATGAGAATACAATTCTCGCACTAAGTAAGCAATCGATAACATTCAAGTTAACTGTTGTTTCGTCTTGTGTGTGTTTTGTCATGACTGTACTTGGGTTTATGTGTGTTTTTAGGATGTTCTCACTATATCAGAGAGTTTGTTAAGAGAATTTCCAAAGAAAATATCATCTTTAGACAAATCTTTCTTTCTGACTTAGTGAAATCAACCTTTCATGTGTAAAATTTCGAGCTTTGTGTGTGTGTGTGTGTGTATAATTTTGACCTTTGGAACATTGTATAAAACAGACGCAGCCACTACGCAGCGATGACAGAAATGATACTAACTTGTGTTACCTTGAGGTCGGCATCATAGGGCAGGGTCTTGTCCCACAGATTTGGGCCCAGAAACGCTGTTTGCGCCTCAACATTCCAAATGTCGCCCTCCTCCTTGTATTTGTCATCTGGGCAGATGATTTCTTTGCTATTCGATGTGGATTTGCCTGTAAAAACACAAAAGGGTTAACAATTAGTCAGGGCCACAATCACTGATTAGATTGGTCTATAAATATGGCAAGTTAAGGGTCTGATATCTTATCCCACTTTTTACTTGGAAGTGGGTCAAGTGCTCTTCATTTCTCTATTATATAAACCATACGAATTCTTTTTGCGATTTCTAATGGGAACCTCACACATATAGCTAACAGAAAATAACAACAATTTCCGCGAATTTCCGCATGCAGCTTTTGGCCATAAAAAACGGGTTACAGGCAAACAAAACAAAGACAACAACAACAGCCAAAAAACCAACAAACAAACAAAGCAAACAACGGCAAGAGGAAGCAGCGGACAGACAGCATACGAAAAGCGAAAGTGAAATTTTTACTGCAGCTTTCAAACTGATTTTTATCGCTTCCAGCTGAGAAGGAAAACAAAAAAGCCAAATGTTAAATAAACTCAAACACTCGAAGAGTTGGCTAAAAGCTTTTGGCCCTATTGTAACCAGAGTTGAGTGATTTTCTGTCTGCATTTTAGAGTTTCGGCAGCTTTGACGCTGCGCATGCGCAGCTGAGCATGATCTTTCTCTGCCTTTTCTTTGCTTCTTTTCTTTGATTTCTTTCACGAAACCCGTTTGCTGGCCACAGACAGTAACAGAAACCAGTTGCCGTCTTTGGTTTCTTCGGCTCGGCAATAGTTTCCGCTTTCTTATTCACTCTCACTTTCATTTGCGAATGTTTTTTGTTTTTTCGTATCAGTTTTTTTTTTTTTTCCTCTTTTCTTGATGTAGTTTTACAGTTGTTGCTACTGCCGCTTTTTGCATTACCGACTATTGCGAAATTTTATGCCATTTTGCGGCTTGCCTCTTTCTTTCCTCAACTTCTTCTTCGGCGGCAAACACACACACACACACACACACATACATAGAAAAACATTTCTGGTCTGTGCCATGAAGTAATATCTTTTCTCTTCGATGTGCTCATCAAAGCGTAAGTGAAATGCTCAAGTGTCTGTGAAGTAATATCTGCTGTTTGGTGGAAAATTAGGACTTGCAAATCGCAATGGCCCACGAGGCGTATGGGTGAGGTTTTCATGAACTTTTTAGCCAGCTTCTCTGACATTTTAACTAAAGACTTTTCTATTCATTGATAGCCCATTTTATAAGGTTTTTTATAGGCTTTTTAGGCAATTAAATAGAAACTTTAATCTTGTAAAAGAAATTGAAAACTAATTTTAAAATTATAAATAAAAAATCCAATAAACATTAAAGCTTGTGGCTAATCTAAGAAGTAATTATATGGCTTAAAAATAATTGTTTGGATATAAAACTGAACATTACTGAAGGTATATATTTTTATAAGATTTTTTTTATGAGGAAATAAAAACATTTTAATAAACTAAAACCTAAAAATTATATTTTATAGCTTCGTAAAAGCTTTACTAGCGTTTTATTAATTCAAATAGTTATTCAAAAAACTTTCTTTAACAGTTAAAAATTGAGTTTAAAAGCAAAGCTAGAAAGTATCTTAAGGATGGGTTGTTATAAAAAAACATATAAGATATTTAATGTTTCTAAGAAATATTCCACATTTATAAGAAGAAAAAACAAAAATCTTATATTAATTATTAAAAATAACAAATAATCAAACATTTTCCAAATCATGCCAAAAAACTTAACAACAAAAATTCTTTAAAGACACAAAAAAAAATATTAAACACAAAACTCATTTAGAAAAACTTTCGCAGGGCAATTAAACAAAACTCCAACGAAACGCAAACAAAGGCAACAATCAAACACAATCAAAGTCCAAAAAACAAAAACAATAACAAAGAAAAGATAAAACAAACTAAAAACACAAAGAAAAAAGAAGACAAAAACCAAATTACCGTTTGCTTTGCAAATGAAACCCAAAAATGGAGATTTCCTGCCTGTAAAACAGAAGAAACGGAAGAAAAGATAGTAGAAAAGAAATACAATATTGATTCTTTCACAAAAGAAAACAAATTAAACGAAACAAAAACAAAAGCTAAACACAAAGCATGCAAAAATGATAGAAAAAAATGTTAAAAGTTAATAAGAAAGCGAAAAGGATGTAAATTTAGTTAAACTCCTTCATGAATATGGCAAAAAAAAGTGACTTTTACTTTTATTTTATTGCCTGCGATCTGAATTCATTTTCGTGTTTTATTCAGTTCACTTTCACTGTCATCAGCATTGTTGATGATTTGTGTGTTAAGCAGCAGGAATCTTGTCTTTCGGTTTATTTTTAGAAGCCAACCTCCCCGAAAACAGGAATTCAACTTAATCTTCTCTTGTTTCTGCCGCCGTTTTGGTTTCGGTTTCAGTTTCTCTTGCCATTTTAACTGGGTCAGCGATTTTTTTTCTGTGTCATCTTTGGCAGCCCTCGCCACCTTTTTATTTTACCTTTTTTTTTTTGGTGATTTTATGTTGGTGTCTTGGTCAGGCAACGAAAAGTTTCCCATTTTTGGTAATTAAAATAATTTGCATAATTTTCTTGGCTTCTTTTGGTTGGTATTTCACTTTCATTAGAAAGGGATAGGTTGCGTGTGTTCTCTCTTTCTAAACCTACGACAACAAATTTATTGTTTCTCTAGAGAAACGCCGCTTCTTCTCACACACTGCCAGTTCTCATTTTATGAACCTAATAATAATATTATGCTTATTACTGGCATATTATTTCTGTGTAAAATGGTTGCCTCTGCGGTCTTTGTTGTGTTAATGGTTGGCCACAATTTTTAGTGGACCATGGTCCGTAGGTTTTTCAGATATTTTTCAGTTTTTTTTTTCCATCTTTTTTTGGGAATTAAACTTTCACTTTTTGTTTCGTTTTTTTCGGGGTTTTTAGTATGAAACAGCGTAAATTTTTCATTCGGTTGGCGGTTTTTTTTAGTGACTTTTAGTGAGTTTGATGAAGTGTTCAGGTTGATGGGGGGAAAAGGAAGTCCCGAGGAAGTGGTGATAGAGTTGAAGTAAGCAAGTGGCATGAAGACTTTAATGGCTTTTCAATGATTTAAAAAAAGTTTATGTTGGTTTTCACTGGGATTTTAGTTATAATTTTTAATTTTCTAAATTTAGAAAATATCTCTACTTTACCTTTCAATCTTCTAATCAATATTGTTTATCCATGAATATATTCCCTTATCAATAATTACTAACCCAACCATTAAACCAATTAAAATTTTGATTCCCAGCCACATCCGTCTCAACTTCAAACCCCACTCATCCCCTCCGCTAAGCGAAATGAAAGTGAGAGTAGAGGAAAAAACCAGTCTTTTATCTCCCAAAAAACCAAAAAACTATCCCCAAAAACAAAAACCAGTTTAAAATACGCAAAAGTAAACGCAAATCGGATCAACTTCTGAGGGAAGAATTAAATCAGAGATCGAGACTATGACGATGCCAGCGACATTGGGGAATATTTATAAAAAATTAATTCCACGCGAAAGTTGAAGAGCATTGGAGTTTGGATTGTCATAGCTATAATAATAAAAAAATTAAAGTGTTATAAACAAATTTGTGGATATATATATAGTAGACTTAAACTGCTTGCCAAATTATGCAACTTTTTGCATTTTTTCTGCTTTTTTTTTTTCGAATCGCCAACAGACACGTACAACAACAACAACAACTGTCCGCCCCTTTCACCTGTCTTTTTTCCTTCTCTTTTGCACTCTTCTTCTATCTCTCTTACACTTCTTTCCCCATCTCTCTTACACTCCTTTCCCCATCTCTTTTACACTTCTTTCTCCAACTCTTTTACACTCGCTGTACTTGTAGTCATACGCTGCGCATGCGCAACGATGGCGCAACTGTGACGGGTTTGCTTGTTGTCGTTGTTGTTGTTGTTATTGTTAGTGTTTTTCATGGTGTTGTTACTTGTGTTGTTTTTGTTGCTGTTGCGCCTGAGTGCCTCGTTGTATTACATCGATTTATAAACTATATGTTTGTATATATATCGCACTCTTCTTTTATGGTTTGTTGCCATTGTTTTTGGGGAAGTTGTAGCTGTAACTGTTGTTGTTGTTTTTGTTGTTATTGTTGTTGCTTGTGAAGTGCAGAAAGTGTAACACTTTCGATTGTTGTATGTTTACTCTGCCTCTACCTCTGCCGCCGCTGCGGCTTTTGTATGCATTGCATTCATTCCGTATTTGCGCTCATTTGCATTGCTTTTTTTGTACGTTTTTTTTTTTTTCTATCTCTTTTTGTACTTTTTTATGTTTTTTACTGCTTTCTGTGTGTTTGTTTTATATCTTTCTGCCGCTCTTTTTTTGTGTGGAATTAATTATTTGTGGGAAAATGCGATAGGCTTTGGATTTCCGGGTTGTTGGTGGGGGAAACTTTGTTGCTAGGTGAGGCAGAGAGGCTCTCTAGTGGGTTGGAGAACTAAGCTTACTGGTACTAACTTTATTTTTAGCATTGCAAGTCCTTGTTAAGTTTTCCCAATTTTGATAATTTCATGATTTTTTTGTCACTCATGATTAATTTTTTGTAATATTTTTAATGATTTTTCCTCATTTTTGCTTATTTTTAGATATTTTTGCACTTTTTTAATATTTGATAAATATTTTTAATATTTCTTCAGGTATTTTCCAACATATTACAGACTTTAAAAGCCCAACAAATTACCAACAAATGTTTATAAAAATATTTTTTAAAATCTTCAGAACTTTCTAACCAAGTTCGCAACCCATCAATTTCCCAAGTTAACAACCAAAAAGATTCAATCAAAAACAGAAAGATAGCGAAAGGCTTTCCACAATCAAAATTAAAATCTTTCCAACTGTGCAATTTAATTTTTCCATCTCCGTCAGACAACAATTTAGCAAGCTAAACCTAGCTGCCATAAATGCGATTTCCCTAACGGCAGAGCCCGCTTTCTTTGCGATTACGAAATTAATAGAAAATTATGAAAGACAGTCAAGCAGTGCAAAGATTTTGCAATAGTTTAATTGGCCGAGACTCGGGCGGCGAAAGTGAAAATCCACCAGACAGCGGTGCGACACAATTTGCCGCATAGTTTTTCCATTCAACCCATTAGCCCAATTTCAGTTTCGTAGAAGAAAGCAAAGCGGCCAAAGCAGTAACAGCAGCCGTAGCAGTTAATTAGCAGAAATAAGGAAGCGAAACCGATAATCATACGTATCGTGTTGGCTCTATCAAATTATAGACTCATGCCATAAAGCGGCTGAAACACGAACGACCAGAGACATCGAAACCCAAATAAAATTGCCTCAAATATGCAGAGCACGCTGCCGGGGCGGGAAAAAGCAAAAAAAAAAGTAAAATAAGAGGAGGCGTGGCTGGGCTAAAACGTAATCAAAACACAGTAAATTCAATCAAAGTGCTTCTGGTCTTTTTTTCTTGTATTTTTTTTTTTTTCAACTAACTAACACGACGACGACGTGTGAACAGATTGCTCATACGCCTCGTGGTACGTATACAAGGCAAAAGCCAACGGCAAAGCCGAAGCCAAAGCTAAGGCCTCTCTTTCGGGCACTTTCACTGATTCAAGTTTCTCACCTGGCAGCATGGCAGCATGGCAGCAATTCGCACGTTTTACCGTTATGCGATTGCGCAACTCATTTTCCACTGGCGAGTGAGTGTCGGCCACAAACTCATCAACAACAACAGCAATGAAAAATTGGCAACAATCTTGAGTTTGGCCAAGACGAGTAGCTGCTGTGTGTGCTGCGCACTTTGATTGAAATAACTGTAATACGTTGCATTTTGGCAGGCCGCCTATCTGGGTGAGTGTGTGAGACGCCACGGGCTTTTCTAGGCCCGCGCCCCATTTTGAACCTCCCCTTCGATTTTCGCCTTTTGGCATGTCTCAGGGGCACATTTACGGTGCGCCACTTCCCGCGCCGATAATACAAACGAAAGGAAGTCATGAATGGCCAGATTGAGGCGCATTCGAACGGGTCAAGTCAATGGAAATTGGACACCTCCTCTGATAGAAGTTGGGAAACGTAAGAGGGTGCAAGAAGATTGGAAAAAGAAAGAATAATGGTATTGAGTAAGGGAAAGGGGAAATTAAAAAATGCATAAAAATATATTTAATACCCATAATTTATGTATTTTTATTACAATTTTATAACCCTTTTTTCTCACTCCTAAAAATAGCAACAAATCTCATTCCCAACTATTTACAAAATTACTAAAATATTTAACCATAAACAACCTTCATTTATCTCCACATTGCTTTTTGCCAACTTTCGAAATTATATATTTTCTGATTAAGATAAAATTATATTTATTTCCCACTCTTTAGACCTGAACTGGAACCCTTCAACTTTTTTCTTCTCTGTTTTATTTTCAAGAAGAGCCAACAAAGTCAACAGCGAGCAGGCCACTAAAAAATATCAAAAAAAAAAAGAAGAAAAAAAAACTACCAAAGAGGCAAAGAAAGAAATGAATTTAAAAACTGCCGAAAAAGTGAAAGTTAATTTTTGGTGATGTTGCTAAGCCGGCAGAGCAGCTGACGACTGGCGTCGGCGTTTGGTTTGGTTCAACGAAAGTAAAAACGCATTTTTCGGCAGCTAAAGAGCCGCTTATGAATTTGATATTGTTAGCACTCCGCCCCTGAAGAGGCAAGCCAAGCAATGTCAAGCATAAAAAGAAAAAAAAAACAAAAATTGCCCTTTTGTTACTAAACTTTTTTTGGCAGATCAACTTTGGGTGATAACAAACAAAAGGCCAAAGACGAGACGAGAGCCAAAAGGCCGGGCCAGTCGGCTTTTAAATACATCATAATAAAACCGAAAAAATATGTAGCTTGGAATATTTATATATACCAAAAATGTATATATTTATATATATATATATGGAAAGCACCCAAAAGTCAGAAACGAAAGTTGTCTGGAAATGTCGCGCTGAACAACTTGTTGCTGTATTTTGGCCCTTGCCG